ACGGCCCGTTACATATTCCCCTCCTTGCCACCTCCCCTGAAGAGGCGCTGCCCCATCGGGTACCCAACCTAGTACGGCAGCAAAAAAAACTCTAGCCCCTAAACCCTAGACCCTAAACCCTAAACCCTAAACCCCTAAACCCTAAACCCCTAAACCCTAAACTCGCGTTTGAGGCTAAGATGACCGGCCTCCGACTGTCGGCCCGCAGAAAAAAAGAGTCAAGAACCTCTGTCCCCACATGTAGCTATATAGTATGTAGTCCCCCTTAAGTAGATAGAATATGGGGTATATGGGGATCTTATCATAACGTACACAAAGCCATATTCTATCTATTTAAAGGGGACTATATACTAAAGGCCCAAGGTGGCTGTCATATCACAACTTTAGGGCCCAATAAATAAACTGTATAGCTACCCTCAACCCTAAAAGCCCCAAACTTCTTGAACCTAAACCCTATACTATAAAGCTACATGGAGCCCTTGGATGTGCAGGATGGGTTGCATCTCGCTGATTGTAGGGCAGCCTGCTGGTGTCGGCGTGAAGGGATCCAACGAATCGGGATGGCCACAGACCTCTCAAACCCAAAGCCCGAAAGGGCTTGGGGTTTAGGGTCCAAGCCCTGAAACCCTAAACTCCTAAACCCTTTGAATCCCTAGCCCCTAAACCCCAAAATCCCTAATCCCTAAGGGTTTAGGGATTACAGTTCATAATAGCGCGCACCTAGTTCCAGGGGCTAATCGCTTCCCACCATATGGGATGGCACCATGTCGGGAAGACCTTTTTAGGGGCGGGTGGTCATCTTTTCTTGTCATTTTGTTGTTGCAAGGAGAGGATTACTGTAGGCGGCGTAGTCTTCATGGGGAGACTACTTGTTGCACTGCTTCCTCGCAGTTGCGACGAATGAAAGCCACGGCATCCATAAGTGGTGAAGGATATTCTCACAAAGCCACCATGGAAGCGGAGATTGCATGAGGCAACCGCTCGTAGGTATTGCACACACAACTCGCTGCACCGCGCAGCAGGCAGGCCAAAGATTTTTCTGAATCTCGGCCGCAAACCCGAAGAATCACGCACACCACCGAACCTTAAACACTGAGCCCGAAACCTTACACCCAAAACCCACCCCTAAGCCGCGAACCCCACATCCCAAAATAGACCCCAAGACCTCGACAAAAATTCAACCCCAAAATCTTGTTGAGTCTGTCCAGGGTTTCAGGTTTAGGGTTTAGGGTAAGAGGCTTCCTCTTTAAGGTTGGAACTGTGGGTCCCTAGTGTGGGCCCTTTCAATCCCGGGCTTCGATATCCCTATAAAAACCCTTTCAGCCCAATGCGCCTGTAATATTCCCGTATAAACCCCCAAAGGAGTTTAGACTATAGTTCATAAAGCAGGTGTTGGAATGATAGGCCCAAACCCTATACAACCCCCTAAACCCTAAACCCTAAACCCCTTAGGCTTCTGAAACCTAAACCCTATACTATCTAGCTACATGAGCCCTGGACTAAATTTGTAGTATATCCCTTAATAGCCTATACAACCCCCTAAACCGTAAACCCTTTAGGGCCCCACGGATAGATAACCTTGGAGCCTCTGGTCCGGCGGTGCCCTCTTCAGCCAGAGTTTCGACAGCTGCCCGCATACCTCATGTGCTCCCGTGCTCCAATTCATGTAAGGTTTGGGGCAAAGTTCTTTTTTTGTTGCAGAACACATGGAAAGCCCCGTATAACCAAGTTTCCATGTCATTCTCCAAGCTGTCTACATGCAATTCTCGTCGATTTGTGTTAAAGCCCCAAACCGCAAAACCCAACACCTTCCATAACATGGCAGTTTCTTGTTCTTTTGAATTTCATCCCCCATGAGGGGGTTCTCAAAACCAGGAGTCTTTGCTATGCGTCTGACAAGAACTGACCATAGTAGGGTTCAGGGCTGAGGACCGTAAGCAGCAGCTTCTTTCCTCAAAACGCTTTTTCTGACTGGTGACTGGTGCTTTCAGAAACGTATATGGGTATTTCCACGCTAGTATGGATGTGGGTATTGTAGCGGCCCCCAGGATTGGACTCCTCATTTTACAGCCTCCTCATCTCTCAAAGCGTCAAAGCTTCAAGCAGCAAACACTAACGCTGGCTCCTGCCCTAATGGTCTACGGGATAGGCCCTAAACCCTAAATCCCAAACTCAATGCTTTGCGCGGCCTAGGGTCTAGGGTTGATGTAGGAGATTCAGCCTTTGGGTTTATGATGCTCGTAATCCCTTCCCCAATAACAAAGCTCTACACTACATCCCCCCCAAATCACAGAACCCCCTCAAGATCGCACCTGTATACGTTAGGAATAATATCTGTTGTGAGGGTTTCGGGAGGTTACTCTCAGCTCTAGACCCTTGTCCCTTGATGATCACTTCATTCTCCATTCCCTTATACGCCTCCTTATCTAAGTACTTCTGCGGTGTGGCGGTGTTAGTGTCAGGAGTGGGGGGTTACCGTTTAAGCAGACAAAAACCTCGGTCCCCACTGATGGGTGGCTGAACAACGCATACGGCAGACAGGGTTACGAACGCAGTTATTTCAGCAGAAAATGCGGGGGACCGTTCGCCTCTTACACAAAAGGGTCCATGTAGCTGCATCGTATAGAATTGGGCCCGAAAATAAATACTAATATGGGAATTCTTTTGGGCCCTAAGTATGGTACCTTCTACCTACCCTAAACTCGAATTAGACCCTTATCCCTCTCTCTCTCTCACAGCGACTCAGGTTCCCCTGTCAGCGCCTAAGCCCGTTCTTCGAACTGAGCAATACAGAACACAGTACAAATTGGCATCTCAAGTGCTCGATACTGTACGACAAGAAGGCACATGAACAATCGCCAAAAGATTGCAAGATTGCAAACATCGCAAAGGAAAGGTGACATCTCAACCATTAGGCTGAAGGGTAATGGCACGGACACGCCTACGCTCTGCCAAAAGTGCGAGACGTTCAGCTTTGTGCTTAGCACGTACATCCTCTAAGGAGGCACTTGGATATACATCGTCGTTCTCAGCAGGTAACGGAGTCGACTGCCGAGACACCGAAGACTGTAACACAGCCCCTTTCGATGATTGAGTTGGCCGGGCTGATGCAGCGAGGTATTCAGGGGTAGAGGCTTCACACGGTGTAGCTCCCTTTCCAGATAGCTCCTGCTCCTGTACCCGAAGTCTGAGCTGCAGATCATTGAGTTGATCGCCGACAGTTTGAAGGGCCACCTCATACTGTCGAACGAGCGACTTGCACTGCTTCTCTGAGATGATAAGTTCCTCAGAAGTCTGGGTGCCAACATGACAGTCAGAAAGCTTTCCCTCGAGAGTTCGAGCGTCACAAGTCCGCTTCCCACGACAACTGGAGCTGCATGAGACCTCGTTGCCTTCCTGAAGCCGCAAAGCCTCAAACAAGTTGATCCGTTTTGCTCGTGTCTGAACTGCATCCTCAACCAGGTCTTGAAGCACTTGCTTCAGCTTGGTAGTAGCGAACTCGTAGCCTAGCTTGTCAGAAAGACGCAGCGAGAAAGCCACGCTGGACGTTAGATTCCTCCGGAGCTTTTCACCATCCATAGGGGCGCAAATGGAATTACGAATTAGGATTGCTCTCTAGAGCCTCGTCGCCATAACTTGAATACTAACGGAATGATTGAATGATTCCCCACAGTAACCTCAACCCTGAACTGTAGGGATCCAAGGAAGCTATTATGTTGGCTTGAGGGGACCCCACACCTTAAACCCTAAACTTTGGGTACTGCCCCCACCCTGTAACAGTCTATATTACTGTAAGGGCTACATTAGTAATAGATTTCTATAACTACATGATATATACTATTCAACTGTTACAGGGTGGGGGCGGTACTCAGGCTAAACCCTAAACTAAACCGCTCGCTCATGGAGTTTGAACTGGTAGGTTGGCTGGGCCGTTTGCAAGAACCAAGACATGACACAGACGGCATCCAAAGGATTATAGTCCCCCGGTAAGTAGATAGAATATGGGGTATATGCAGGGTAATTTAGAATAATTTCATTGCCCAAGTTTAGGCCATTTTGGTATTGTTCCCTATATGATCCACCATTAGAGTGAGGTCGGATGAGGTCGCATTAAATTGCCCAGTATACAGGGATCTTATTATAATACATTCAAAGCGATATTCTATCTACTTAAGGGGGACTATACATCCATAATCCATCCCCCTAAGCCTAAAAACCTACCTTGAACAAACGCTGTTGGGACGTCTGGGTTCCTGTCAGCTGCCGGTCTTGCAGGAAAAGCCACGCAGGTTAGGGCCTAGGGTTGAGGTTTTAATCATTATGCCAGCAGGCTTCCAGGTGGTGCAGGTTTAGGGTTTTGGGTTTAGGGTTTAAGGTTTAGGGTTTAGGGTCAGAATCGCCAATGCAAGTTGGGTACGGTACAATCTTGAGTATCATGCCAAGCGATAGTCACATTGTCACATCCACAACCTTCATGAACATCATTGCTGGATTTTTTCATTCCCCTATATGGCTCTAGTCCTTGGAGGGGAGTTGCAATGTCCAGAAACGATCAGGTTATCCAATTGGGATCAGCCACTTCCAATGTTGGGCTTGGCAGTTTTGGGATCATGACACGATTAAAACCCCAAACCCTGAACCCTGGACCTCTAAACCACAGGCCCATCCTGTTTCCTATGCTCCATAGTTTCCAAAACGTAGGGGTCCCTCAGGCCATAGTGTCTGTGTCAAACGCACATTGCTCGGGTTTAGGGTTTAGAGAGTTCATGTTCAATCCCAACGCAAAGCACATCATGCTCTACCAACAGGTATTCCTGAAACCTGACAAAAACGCTTCGAGCTTCCGAAGTTCCGGGCCCCCACCCAAAATTGACCTTTTCATTACACCAAAAGGTCTAAGTTTAGCCACTCAAAGTGAAAGTGTCTTAGATCAAGTAGCTGTGACTTGGGGTCTGCCTTCGCAGGGTATTGTTTAGGGTGACTTTTGCCGCCTGAGATGCCCAAAGCGCTGACATACACAATCACCAAGAGGGTCAGCATGACCCAGAACAAGGAGGGCACGGCAATGATGAAGCCCTGGACAATGTTGGACAGCTCTGTCAGAAGTGGCCTGAGCACTGAACACATGAGCCATTGTCGAAACTCCTAGTATCCCCCTTAATAACCCCTATGGCAGTGCCCTATATAATCCCCCATATAACCCCCCCTTAAGGAGTTTAGACTATAGCTCAAATGATGCCCGGTACAGTACTGGCTTGAGTGGACCATGTCTGTAATGCAGTCCTTCACACTCTTCTTGGGGGGTTAGTAGGGAATAAGGGAATACCTTATAGGGATTATGATTATGATCCTCTTTCCCTTACTAACCAGCAGTAAATAATTGTCCCGTGGAGCCAACTAATCCTTTTCCACTCCACACGTATTCACGGACATCAGTCGGCCATATGTGCTTCCAAAAGCTCTTGTGGCCGAGAACAGCGAGATGACAAGTTTAGAGCTGAGCTTCAAGATCATGTGCTGTACCGCTAGGATCACGCTTTCAAGGTGGCATCGGTGTTCTCGAAATGTCACATCAGACAATGGAGTAGGAGAAGGGCATCGGGTTTTTGTGCATATGGAATAGTGGTGCAGCATGCATGGCACTCTGGCATGTCATCGTGCCACGCCGGCAGGACGACATGGCATGTTCTGGCCTGGCACACCCCGAAATGTTGCATGAATTGCACGACGGTTTGAACACAGCATCTGAAAAATGAGTTTGCATTTGACCTGACGCTTTGCAGTCGACTGCGGGCGACAAAGCTTACGAATAAAAAGTGAGGCTGCCGCGGTCCAAACTCAAGTGGCCTTTCACACATAAAATCAAACGATGAATTGTTATTCATGCTGACAGCGGTCATGTCCCAAGGCAACCATGATCTTTTACGTCTGGTATCGGCTACCCACGCGATGGGGATGGGATCCAGTGTGACAACCTGCAAGGCCCCTATTTGGAGGTCATGGGAGCTAGTAACTACTTATAACTGATCCTCCACCCAGTAATGATGACTATAAGGGATAATATGGATTATATTTGGGTCCTATTATATTCCTATTATTCCACCATTACAGGGTGGGAAGTCCTCCTAATAACTACTTATAGCTGAGCTTAAAACCTCACTTATCATCCCCCCCCATATTGCTTTCCAGTGGTTACCCCAGTTATAGGTAGGCTATACCCCAAAACAGAAGTACTTCCTAAGTCCCGTGAACCTCCAAGTATCTTGAGAAAGTCTCAAGTGACTACACTTCAGCAAAAGCTCCACGCACGGGTTTAGGGGAGCAGCCTTCCCAAGCTCATGGGTTTCCCTACTACCCCCCCTATACTACCCCCCCCCCCTAGCTTCCTCTTTCATTAACCCTTATTCGGTCTTATTCCCCCTAAATAATCTAATTAGGGGGAACCTAGGGGGGGTAGTGTAGGGGGGTACCCATGATTTGATCCCTAAAGCCGAAGCCCCTACACCCTGTCCCTGGCGATCCAATTCTACAAGGTTGACCTGCTTTGGCTCAAAAGTCTACAAACCCCTCAGCCCTAAATGATCTTCATTGAGCTATTTTGAATCCCCAAGTTGCTACGCTTTAGAATTTTAGAGACCCTTGAAGATCTGGTGCAGCAAGGGCACGTGTTGATAAGCCGCATGTAGAAAGAAACACGCGCAAGTCGCAAGACACGAATCGTCAAAGCGATCCGGCTCGGCGTAGATGCCCCGCGGATGGCGACCTACCAAACACTGGGGTAGGTTCGGATGCGCTGTATCTATTAAGGCTTGAAGAGGTTATCTCTATATCTATATTACATATGTATAGGGATCTAGGGTACAAAAAATGAACAGACTATTTTCGGACCTGCCCTTCCCAAGGGTTTGGATCAACCAGCTGTCACCATGGGAGTTTCTATCAATGATCCTATGAGTTCATGTTAACTGGCATTATCTTCTGATAATTCGTATGTATTCCAGGTGATGCCCAGAGGCTCTCGATGATTAGAACCCTCCTTCTCCGCCCCCCCAATAATCAAGCCTCCTCCCGGAGAATCGACACTCTGAGGTCTTTATTGAGGCTATAGTACTAACGAATCAAACGAGATATCTCCTAAGTTTCCATCGTTTTCTAATGCATTTCATTGCGTTTACACATTTTATCTGATCTTCAGGAAAGAAATCCTATGAAAAGGATCGACTGGACATCTTCTTGAAATTGGATCTCCTTGACTTCCAACAAGTTCTATTGCGCCATGAGGAAGTAACTCATGTTAAACTGGTTGGTCTTCACATACAGTCATCATGGAAACCAAATGAGATTCTATTTCTTCACAATGAAACTCGGGCTGATAACAACAGCCACTTTGGGGCTCGACGCAGTTTGGTAATCGAGGCGATTACGCACATTTCAAGGAAATGTCGCATAGTGCCGCCTTACACCCCCAACCCCCTACAACCCGTGAGCTGTACTGTAGCCCTCAATCGAGCCCCTGTGCGCGTGAATGCAGCAAGTTGTGCTTGGGTCAGTAGATGCTGATCTCGGGCTGCGTGGCCAAACCCCCAGGACGACTACTTCCATCTCTAATATTCTTTACCAATGCTGTTATTTTGGATGCAACTGCTAGTGTCAATAAGATTGGACTGAATCTTTGACCTCTGCGCTTGTGTACGGACCAGTTACAGCGGATGGCCATTGCATGCGCGAGGCAATCCTTTTGACAAGGCTGCATCACGACGCAAAGCGGAGACCTGCTCTAGGTACCTCCCGGAAGACCCCAAAAATAGAGGTCCTTGCGGCTGAAGAGACTTAAGAGTGCAGTATTATGAAAGTCATCCAGCAGCACTGAAGACTGTACACACCCACCTAAACCCTAAATAAACCCCAAACCCTAAACCCTAAATAAACCCTAAACCCCCATAAACCCTAAACCCTAAACCCCAAACCCTGGATATTATCTGGGACTGCAAAAAGCCAGGGAGGTGTCTCACACATCATCCTGAAACCTGCTTTATTGGGGTTTAGGGTTTAGGGTTTAGGGTGATATATTGGGATAATGGAAAAGAAAATGGAACCTACAGGGATTGTAGGGGGTGTATAGGGGCTATATAGGGGTTATATAGGGTATAGTGGGGACATATTGGGATAATGGAAAAGAAAATGGAAAACTACCATTTAGGGTTTAGGGTTTAGGGCTACTATAGTATCCCCCTATAATGGAGAAGCAAATGGAAAAGAAAATGGAAAATTAAATGGAAACCCTAGGTCCCTTTAAAGGGGTATATAAGGATATTATCTCCCTATAATGGAGAATCAAATGGAAAGGACCATGGAAAATAAAATGGAAACTGGGGGAATCTAGGGATTTAAGGAACTTGCAGACGACTTAGTGGGCACAGATTGACAAATCAGGCTCACCCTAAGCCCTGAATCCTAACCTCTAAAGTGGTAATCGGCTTTGCTGCGGGCACCCTTCTTTTGCCAGCATTTTAAGGACCTGGCTTGCTAGCCAAGCATTGTCCTGCGTTCAACTGCTGCTCTGACCCTCAAAATGAGGAATCCCCTACCTAATGATTACCCCTCCCCACGCCCAAACAATCAATGATCCCCCATGGGAATGAAGTGACAGCGAGCATTGCGCTAAACAAAGAAACGCCTGGTAGACGATTTCCCCGGCTGCGCCAGAGGAAAGGATGGTGTCAAAGATGTTCCAGACTCTCTCTGGTCCTGCAGGCGGCTATAAATTCATGGGTTCCCCTACTACCTAGGCCCAATTAAGGTTAATTAAGGGGGAACCTGGGGGGGTGTATAGGGGGGGGTAGTAGGGGAACCCATGATAAATTCTAAACCCTGTATCACATGCAGTTTAGGGCATGGACGTCTCTACAGAGGCTCCCACTATCTACACCCAGAACCCTGCGGCTTGCTTACAAGACAAGGACCGTAAAAAGGAGATTGTCTTCTTGGGCAGGAGAGATCAAGCACAAACACTGACAGCTGCAAAAGCTCGAACTTTAACTGAGGATGATGCGTTGAAACCTTAAACGTCCAAGGACCCACAGAATAGGGTTTTAGGGCCCAAATACTGTGCTATTAATGGTATTTGGGCCCTCAAACCCCATGATTTGGGTCCTTGGACCCTTAGGGAAAGTGGTTTAGGATTCAACTTTCCGTTTCGTTGAACACAGGTCAGATTGCAACATGACTGAAACCCACAGCGACCATCTGAGAAGAACCCTCCCCCGAGATGGTCTTATGGTGGTACTCGTTGGAGTTTAGGGTTTAGGGTTTAGGGTCTAGGGTTTAGGGTATAGGGTTTAGGGGTGAATCAGTGAACAATTAGCTTTCTGGTAGTAGCAATAGCCAGGACTATGAAGAGAAGGCCAACGAACATCACAGCAATGCTGCTGACAACAACAAATATCCTTTTTCCATCTGGTCTTCATGTTCAGCCAGACAAACATCCTAAACCCTAAGCCGTAAACCATATATAACCCATTACAGTTGTTTCCATGTTCTTTCCCAATCTAACCCCTATATAACCCCTAAAGGAGCAGTGGCCATCTGACTGAATTCGGCCCGGAATCCGCAAAAGTACTTGCGTGGTCCGAGGCAAAACATCTTGATGAACACCTGGCCAGCTAAACCATCCAGACAGCACGGGTTCCGCTTCCCTGCCCGCCCCATGCTTCGGAAGAATTAGGGCTAATGTGGGTCGCATCCGGGGGGGCGTAGGGGAGCCCATGAAAACAAATCGCAGTCTAGGGTTTTGAGGATTATGGTCCCGTTTCGCTCGTTTAGCTGACGACATGGCTGTGCTGCTTCCACCAGCGTTGGCCTTTTTTTGCACCACCTGCTCGATTCCAGAAAACTTGCGCACCTCAAGTCTACGCATAATCACAAACCAACGTTCTATCACAGGAGTACCATGGGCTCCCCCATATGCACCTCAGTCAAACTAATAAGGCCCGAATAAGCCTCAACAAGCCCTACTAGTCCGCCAAAACCCCTGTCAAGGTCCTCAATTTGCCTCAATTTGCGGGCCTGTCATACTGGAGAACCATATTAAGGCTATGATTCTTGCGCCAGCCAACCTGAATCTAAAAGAAAGGCCAGAAGAAGGCACCAAGGGTGTAGGGGTCGTATCAGGCATACATGAATGTGTCAAGTGTTCTTCAACGAAAGCCCAGCATAAAATCACAGGTTCCGCTTGATTTCGAGTCTTGAATTCCATTCGGTTCTCCATTGGTCTGATGGATCCCAATGGTACTTATTGCGTAAGGCCCCATGATCTGGTTTCCTCTTGGAATACTGCTGTGAGAATGGTATTTCTAGGCTTTCTTGTTGCGCTTAGGTTTAGAAACATATCAAAATCCAACAATGACCATGTGTAAGCTTAAACCTTAAACCCTGAGCCCGAACTGCAACCCGCCTCAAACATGAAGAGGACAGCGAAACCTGTGTCCACATAGAACCATCCCGCCCAGTTTGGCGCGTAATCCAACGAGACGCCTGCGTGAAGGGTCAAGGGTTTGGGATTCAGGGCTCCTAAACCCCAAACCACAGTAGGGTTTAAGGTTTGTTGACAGTTATATGATGACTGCCACATGGAAGCTTTCGAGTAATGGAGATTCAAGTTGACAAGACAAAACAAATCAAACGGAACCGGGCTTAACTTAGCTGGGGTGAGTGTTGGGTTGGGCATAGGTTTGGCTAGTCTGGAGATCCATTTCGGGGGAGGCACACTTGGAGGGTCAGGGGGAGCTTAGTACAGTGTAACCCCTATAGCCCTATAACTCACACAGTAAAAGCAAACCTCCCTGTTCATACCTACTTACCAAGTCCCCTGACCCCCCAAGCACGAGGATAGTCATGTGGATCCACGCCCCTGTCCCCTTAAGCACAACTAAGCCGGAATGCCCCGAAGGCATGTGAGCAATAGTCTAACCCTAATAACCCCTATAGTAGTTCCCTATATAATTCCCTATATAACCACCTTTAAGGAGTTTATACTATAGCTCATGTGGCCTGCAACCTTGTCGACAAGGCTGGCAATTAAGCAGAGCAGGCAAAGCTACGCAATCAAACGCAAGCCTGCCCAGGCACCCCCTTTGACATTTAGACTGTTTGGATACGTGAAGACGCTGGAAAGAAAACAGCAAGAACAAATGCGATTGCGTGCGGCAGAACATCTTCGCACTCCCATCAGGGCTTGTTTCTGATTTACGCCGTATGTGTGAAGGGCTTAGTTGTGTGCGGGGGCGGTGCTAAGTCAGAATAACTCGACAACATAAAATCTGCATGACCCTCTACACAAACCAGCGGCGGGAGTGAAATTGATGTTACTTGTCCAGATGCCTGTAGCGATGAAGCTGCAAGCAATAAGCAAAGTGGAGATCGCGGTCACAATGAGCACGAACCTCTCCCAACTGGTGACAGGCTTCTTCACCTCGAATTTTTGAAGGGCCGGGGCAAAGTACAAGTAGCAGGAATTCCGTATTGGGTTTTGCGCGAATTTGACACATGATTTATCCGACAATCACCCAGGGTGTGAGCGGGCTTGTCGCATTGAAGAAATTTATGCTCTGCTGACCACCAAGCTCCCCTGCCCCATGCTACAAGTGTCCATACGAAGTGGTGATTGCCCAATGTTTGTTGTGCTGCCTTCCTCGTATGAGCCTGCCTTGGCATGAAATCATCACAATAAGCCCTACCAAATCCTTAGCGCGCACTCCCCACAATTCCTCAACAATTCCCCAAAAATCCAAAGACCCATTTTACCCTAAACCCTAAACCCTAAACCCCAAACCCTAAACCCTAAACCGTTTTGAAGTCCCACCTGCTCATAAGCTTGCATGATCACCTGCGAGGTCATGTTGCTGGGGCAATCGTCGCCTAGCAAGCACTTCTGGATGGTGAAGAGGCGAAGGGCCAGCTGGCCGGAGGCATAGTCTGGAAGCTTTTGAAGTAGCAAGCAGTTCAAAAAGCCTTTCCAAGGCATAATGGAAGGGCCGGCGTGGGACTTCCTCGCATGAACTACATCTCCAAAAACTTCGCCATGAACGTCCCTGAGTTTGTGCATCACTTCTTCAAGTTGCGGTTGCTCCAAAGGCACGTTCAAGTGCTTGTTCTTGTGGAGAGTAGCCTTCAAAGCACTTGCGAGGTCGCGAGCCATCACCACTTTGGCCGCTTCGTCCCTGACCCGGAACATCTTGTGCAGCTTCAGCAGGGTCTTTGGCTGCGGCGTGATGGATTTGATCTTCTCCTCACGGGCCACAACCCCGCCCACAAGCATCAACTCCGAAACTTTTGCCGAGCTAGGACTTGAACAACTTTGCCAAACGTACTCCTCAAAAACACGTTCCACTTTGTGAATGCGGGAGTAGTGGGACCCGCGTTAGAACAGCAGGACCAGAAAAAAACAACTTGAAAGCCACCTTTTTTTTATGAGATTGAAGCCTCGGGCTTACGCTCAACTCAAAACGCAAATCCCTAACCGCACCCCAAATGCCAAACCTGAACTTTCAAGTTTATGTTCTGTCTATATAACACCAACGTCATGTTCATATTCTCCATTTGATTCTGCAGGTTTCGGGGGGCATGTCCCGCAAAACGCCTATAAGCCTATAGGTTTTCGGGGTTACAGGTGAACTGTAAAGCCCCTAGCAACGGTCCCCGAACGCTGGCTGAGCGCCCACAGCCCGGGCTGCGGAGAGGTAAGGCTAAACCCATATGGGGGTTTCCCAAAATTAGGGGTACCCTTATTAGGGTCCCCGTAATAAGGACTATAGTATTTTGGGGTCTATATTGGGGTCCCCTAATTTTGGGAAACTACCATATAGCCACTATAGTCGTTTCCATTTTCTTTTCCATTATCCCTATATAACCCCAATATACTCCTAATATTCGATCTACTCAAGGGGGGACTATAAATGGACCCTAAGCCATTTTTTTCCATTCCTTCATTCCCGGCTAACCAAAAGTAAGAAATCCCCAAATCCTGCGGCGCGCCTCGGCTGATAGTAGCGACTGCCTTCGAGGTTGTTTGTCCCCTGTGCTGGCTTCGGCTTCCAACGTCCCAGAAGGATTCAACCTCAGGGTGAAGGGTTTGATGTCCAAGGGTTTCAGGGTTTAGGGCTTTCAGGATCTAAGGGCTTTAGGAGGGACGCCTTGTAGCTCATTTGGGGTAATACGGGGACCACCACTAGGTATAGAGGGGCAAGTAAGCAACGTATATGGGGCAAGTCAGAGAATGGGATTACGTGGTTACCTAGGCCACTGTAGCCTCACTTTTTTAGGGTACCAACTTTTGTGCGAAAAAGATTCCAGAGAGAAAAAGTTAAATGAATGGTAGGGTAGCGGGGTCTGGGTAGGGTCTAGCTTAGTTACAGTGCTGGGCATATTTTGAAGGGGTTCAGAGATTGTGTCTTCAGGGGCATTGGAATCTGATTCTAAAGGAATCGGAATCGATGACTGCTCAACGAAACTTGACAGCCCTCAGCCCTTAAGCTCTAAGGTGTATTACGAAAGACGAATCCGATCTGTAGAATAGAATGTACAAGAGACCAGCATAGTGTATATTCCGAACCCTATAAGCCTGAAACCATGCGAAACCTAAATCCTAAATCCGAAACCCTATTAATGACTCTAAACCCTTTGCAGCAACCTCATCTGGTTCTAGCTTGGGCTTCTCCCTGCCTGGCTGAAAGCATGGATTCTCTTACAATTCCCCCCCAAGCTACCGCATTTTTTGCTAGAATTAAACGTATAATTAGCCCAAAGGGTCCACGTAGCTACATAGCACATACTTAGGGCCCACAATGGTTCCCATATAACTACTCAAGTATATACTATACAGCGACATGGAGCCCTTTGGAATGAGAATATTATTTTTTGGGGGCCCGAAGTATATATACTATATAGCTACATGGATCTTTTGGGTGAGCCGACGCAGATTTTCGCAAGCAAATGAGAATATTATTTTTTGGGGGCCCTAAGTATATATACTATATAGCTACATGGATCTTTTGGGTGAGCCGACGCAGATTTTCGCAAGCAAAACGTGCATTTTCGCGGGCATTATGTACATTTTCTCGGGCAGGACACAGAATTTCGCGGGCAAGACGTACATGTTCGCTGGCAAGACACATCTTTTGGGGGCAAGACGTATTTTCGCAGGCAGACACACAACAGGTTTTTGCGGGCAAGACACACATTTTCCTGGGAACAGGTACATTGTTGCGGGCAAGACGTTCATTTTTGCGGGCAAGACAAAGAATTCGTACGTTTTCGCGGGCAAGACATATCTTTTTGTGAGCAAGACACGGAATTCTTGTTGGCAAGACACAGACTTCCGCGGGCAAACACGGGCCTCTGATTACTAAGGGCCCAGGCCCTGGGGTTGGGGTTGAAGGCCTTAGGGTGCAAGGTCCACGTTTTCTTACCCCACTCTACCTGGAAGAAAAAGGGATCTTTTTTACATAAGTATAAAGAATCCCATACCCCAAAAAAGAATGCCTCACATCGATCCAGTTTGAGACTTCGCACTTTAGGGTTCGGGCTTTGGGGTGCG